TCTTTCGTTTAATGACTGTTCAAAGTTACAACAGCACTGAAAAAAGTGACAGGACCATTTTTTGCACTTACGACTGTTGCAGTATCCCCATGGTCATGTGATCAAATGTTTCACTTGCCTATAGTTTGAAGACATAGATGTTTTAATTGAATACTGAATATATGGAACAATAGAGGCACAGATCAGTATCACATAAATTACACAGCTGGACTAAAATCCTCGATTAGAAATTAAACCAACAATAGATTAAATCAATGATTTAATCATGATTTGTTATTTCATGGGGATAAAGGTACTATTATAGTTTGTTTTTTGAACACAGAATTATTAATGTTCCCCAAAGCTTCTTCTTGTTTTTAGTACTTGTGGATCACAGTAAGACAGATACAAAAATATAAATCTAACTTTACAGAGAGAATACATGGAAGAATCTCAAAGTGATTTGTGATTTGATCTTTACAAAATATAAAATTTATACTGGTAATGCAATGGAAGAGGCAATGAAAGACTTTGTCTCAACTTCTTTATTCTCATGGCACCATCCATAAATATATTTTGAACTGCTTGTTCCATAGTGTTCCATAGTGTTATTTCTGAAGGGGAATCAATATGATCAAGCAAAGAAAAATCATGCAATGAACATTTATGCATGTATTATTTCCAGACCATTGACCATACATTTGAAAATATATTTTCCCATTCATTTTTTTCTTGGCAGAATTGATAACATTTCAATAGTATAAACTTGAACTCCAATGAGTTTTTGGCATGCTGTTTGCTGAAAAATAAAGATCAAAATCCATAATTGGATGGATACTACATTAATTGGGACTAATCAAGACGGCATGAAGAAATGTGCCAAGGAGAATTATTACCAAGCAGCGTGTCCCAAAGGTGTTTTTTCCTGAGGCAATTGGGGAATGATGCTGAAGTGGTGCAGTGTGGGGCTTGAGGCAACAGCAGTGGCAGCCCTGGGGATGAAACAGAGGCCTGGAGGCAGCGGCAGCTGTTGCAGGCCTGGCCCTCTTCAGCTCCAGCTCTGCTGGCACTGAGTACCATTGTGCAGAATAGAGAAAAGGGCATAGATTGGGGAGAGATAGGTTGTAGTGGGGGAGTTGCAGCAACCCAGCGATTGTAACTGCATGTGGGCTACTAAATGCCCAAATTCTGACCATAGGATCACAGTTTGCTGAATGAATGGTCGTAAGTTGAGGATTACTTATAGTTCTACACCTGACACAGTAAAATTGCAATGAAGTAGCATGTCATTTAAGAATGCAGAGAATAGGTTAGTAGCATTATTATTATTTTCATTCACTGTTTCTGAAAACAAAGGAACTGTATTACTGAAAATGAAAGTAGAAAGGAAGCCAAAATGAAACTACAAAACAATAATGTAATGAGTTGCAACATATTTAAATTGCTAATGGAAAGGTCTAATATCTAATTATTAATTGATTACTTCAAATACTGAATAATATTTTAGGGAAAAGAACAAAATTATAATATTTCTGATACTGATATGTAAATAAACATTTCATTTTTACACACTGTGTTTCAATTTTTAAAAATTTAGTTTTAGGAACATAAACATAAACAATAGTAATGTTTATATAAATATTGTTTCCACCATTTACATTTTTGAGGCAATACAACCGACCTATACCTAATCTTATTTTAGGTAATAAGGATTTCCCATCTAGCCAACTCACAACCTTCTTCCTACCAATTGATTCCATATTGTTGCAAAAAATTTCATGTAATGTTTTTATTTGATAAATATTTTAATCCTTTTTAAAACAAACAAACTACAATCTATTATTCACCATAGGAGTATGAACAGTGGATAATTGCCCACATCTCATCTTAGCCAAAGGCTAGCTGAAATCTGCAACTCAACTATTTAGATAGCTATTAGGAACCACCACCACCCCCAAGCTCCCTCCATTGCCATTGCCAGAGAGCTGCTATTGCTCAGGGTGAAACTCCTGGACCTATACAGGATGATAGACATCCTGGCTGGCCGCATACCTGAGGGTCTTCCCTCACTTTCTTCCTTCTTCTTCTCAGCAGCACCCCATTTTTCTCTTATTGGATCTTGGATCAGGTTTTTCTTTTTGATTATTTAACATTTGTTTTATATACACAGGAATTGTATTTTTGTGAGCACCCCTGTGCTGCTGAATTCTTTTCCTCTCTAATTAAGTTACTGAATAGTTTGTCATAATACCTTAGAAAATCTCATCACAGATTGTCACCCAGAGAACATGTCCATCAAGTCGGACTCAGTTAAAGGGAAACTCAACTTTAGCCACCGTTGCTAAATGCCATGCCACCTTCCAGCCACCTTTGCCAGCTGCAAAGATTCAAAGTTCAAAAGTATCTTGATGGACTTGAACAGTGGTGTGCCACAGTTGCCAAAAGGGGCGTTGGTCCTACCTGATACACCTCTTCTCGGGGAGTCGAAGGGAGAATCCAGGATGGGTAGTCTCTAGTCTCCTAGCTCTGCAGACCGAGTTGAAAAACTGAGGACACCCCCCCACCCCTGGTAACGGTTCCCAGTTCTGAACAAAGTTGAAGCGAATTCCAGTGTCCATCGTCTTCTGAAAGATAGTCTACTCAATGAAACAAAAAAAAATTCCATCCTGACTCTGACCAGACAGAATACAGGGTGGGACTGCATTCTCCCTTCAACTCCCGGAGAAGAGGTATATCAGGTAAGACCAACGCCCCTTTTCCACAACTGCCAAAAAATGAAATCCTAGGCTTCATCAACAAAGAGACAGCATCAAGGATCATAAGAAGTGATAGCACCATCTATACTGCACTAGTGAAGCCACACTTGGAATACTCTGTCCAGTTTTGGTTGCCACGATTCCCAAGATGCTGAGATGCTGGAAAAACTGTAGAGAAGAGCAACAAAGATGATAAGCAGTCTGGATGCTAATGTGCTAATGGCTAAGGGAACTAGGTATGTTCCCTAACTAGGTTTGCCTAGTCTAATGAAGAGAATGATTAGGGGTGACATGATACCATTTCAGATTTTATGGGATTTTCCCCAATTCCTGTTCGGTTTTCTGCATCATCTACTTTTTTATGAATATGCACTTTAGAGCTAAAAGTCTTTGCCCCTATGATTATTAAATCTGAGAGAAGAATTCAATTCATAGGATCTCTGGATTCAAGTCAAATTCTTCATTTGAGGTTTTGCCCTGTATTTTGTAATGGCTCAAGGTAATTATAAACAAAACTTTGTTGTGGAAAATTCAGAAGAAAGAACACAATTCTGAGGAGAAATAATCAACCATTTATGCAAGGATAATTGAATCCAAATTTTACAAGAAAAAGAAACTCAAATAATGAGAAAGCGAAGATTTCTACAGAAGTTGAAATCTATAACTGGAATTTCCCATCCTACAGGGTGGGAAATCCAAGGAATCTGATTTGTTGGCAATTTGGTGGGAACCTAAGCAGATCTTCAATGGTACATATGGGATTCTTTCTGTTAGCCAAAACAGCTGCAGGCCTTGGAAAGTCCATTGTTAAGAAGATGGAACACTAGCGTGTTCCCAATGAGCATGAAGTGTATGTGTATGTGTGTGTGTGTGTGTGTAAACAATTCTCTATAAAATAATTACAAATAAAATATAACTGGTGAACTGGAAAAACACCAATGAAAAAGCAGAATATCAGGTAAGTAACTGTTCCTTAGAAAGTAATGGAGGTAACTGATGGAGCACATGATTTAAACACCTGCTCCTCATTTTACTTCTAACAAAATCCATGGGAGATCCTCAATACATCACAGGATAGTTCTTTGGTGGAAAAAAAAACCCTCATCCATTTAAGTTCTTTTGGTTTGGTTACTATACAGACTTAATGACTTGCACATAAAAGGTCTTGTACAACAGCTAGCTCTTTGCTCTGCGGCCTACATGGTTCATCAGGTACTAATTAGATAGCATGCTCTGTCAACACTTCAATGCTTTTCTTCTATTAATTGATCTTTCTGCCAAATTAATGACATGGCTGTACCAGTTTTGAATTCCCCAGCCCTTTTACCTGTGAAATACAGACAAGGAAAAAAAAGGTCCTAAGTTATGTGCTCTTGTTCAATATGTCAACACAACATTAAAAACACCATGCTAAAAGTTTAATTGTGTCTGCTTTGACTCATCAGCATTTATTTGATACTAAAAAAACTTGTGTTCTCAAAATAACCCCAAATTATACCAAAACATGAAACTGAAAAAATTAGGAGCAATGTTATAGTTATGATAGATAAACAAGAGGCAAGTATTTATAAAAATAAAGATTTAATGCTAATGGCTTAAAAACTAAGACATTATCTCAAGCCTAAGAAAGTCCAAGAGTAGAAAAAGAGAATAGTAGAGAAAAAAAGAGTGGGAAAGATAGATTATATTAAACTCTGATTAATTAAAAAGGAAATTAACCCTAAGTGTGACACAGTTCTAATTAGCAGGGCACAATCACCTATCCCAGTTGTTTAA